AAAATTAATTTTGTAGGGTGCCACAAGTTTGTTAAAATTTCCATAGGGTGCCCCGACTAAAAAAAGGTTGGGAAACACTGATCTAAAGAGCTGAGCAAATTTTTAATGAGGCATAAACACACACCTGCATATTAAATGTGTAATAAATTACAGATGTCCAAGGATTGCACGTCTTTAGTGATGAGCTGTTTTAATGGATTTGTGTGCACATTACAGTATGATGCAGGACCGCAGAGAACAGGCCAGACAGGATCTGAAAGGATTGGAGGAGACTGTGGTGAGTGCAATTTCTCATCTCAGCACTAGAGGGCGACTAGAGATGACCGTTTTATTCACATCATGTAGTGTGTATTTTTAAATATTGTTCTTTTTCACCTATTTAAGGCCAAAGAGCTGCAGACTCTGCACAACCTCAGGAAATTGTTTGTTCAGGATCTGGCGACTCGTGTGAAGAAGGTAGGAGTCAATCTGTCGCGCATCTTCCATTCGTTTTCATATCTATTCTATGTCCTGTTCTGTTAAAGCAAACTTAATTCTGCCATTTAGGTCAATGTAAATCCATTTGCTTTCTTTCTAAGCAGTTGACTTGGTGGGTATTTAATTGAAGGGTATTTGTTTTTATTTTTTTGTCTGGGTGTAGAGTGCAGAGATGGACTCTGATGAAACTGGTGGCAGTGCTGCTCAGAAGCAAAAGATCTCTTTCCTGGAGAACAATCTAGAACAACTCACCAAGGTCCACAAACAGGTAAATCCAAACAAAAAAAGTCCTCATAAACTTTTTTCCCTCTTACTTTATATTGCCAGTTTTAGTGTGTTTTAATTGGCACGACAGATTCATATTGCCAAAGCATTTTCATGAAATAAAGTAAAATGAAAATTGTACAAAACAACATGCATAATCAAATTAAAGAAAAACAATTACATAATGCTGTGTGATTGACAAGGAATCAAAAGTGATTGTTAAAAAAAAATCTCTCTTATTCATTGGTGTCTTTCTTTCTTCTATAGCTGGTGCGTGATAATGCTGACCTGCGCTGTGAGCTTCCTAAACTTGAGAAGCGTCTGCGGGCGACAGCGGAGCGTGTGAAGGCTCTAGAGTCAGCACTCAAAGAGGCCAAAGAGAACTCGGCCCGTGACCGCAAGCGATACCAGCAAGAGGTGGACCGCATTAAAGAGGCCGTGAGAGCCAAAAACATGGCCCGCAGAGGACACTCCGCACAGATAGGTGACTGAACGCTTACACAAGCACAGTCACCTTGATTAAAATTAACACAACAGAAAAAAAAAGAAAGTCCATGATCTTTTCTCTCATGATTTGCCTGTATTTTCTGGTTGTAGCTAAACCCATCAGGCCTGGTCAGCAACCTGTAGCTTCTCCTACACACCCCAACGTGCTGCGTGGAGGTGGTGGTGTGCTCTACCAGAACAGCCAACCTATGCCTATCAGAGGAGGTGGCGCTAAACAAGAGAAGAGGTTTGTACAGTTTTTAGTAAAGAGTCTGTGGCTTTTGTTCGAAGGAAAACCATAAAGGCAGCACAATTGCTGACCCACTTCTAGTGTAACAGCCTAGTTTTTGGAACATTTTGGTAATTTACTTCAGTGTCTAATAATTACTATTATTATTATTATTAGCATGGGCTCCCCTCTTGGGAGTATAAAAATCCTTTGGTTTGTTAAGCACATCTTTTTTGTGTCCAGCATTCTCACTGCCATTTCTTCTTGTTTTGTTTAGCTGAAGATGAGTTTATTTTTGTTCCCTCACTACCGAAGCTGCAAGAAGTCTTCATGGAAATCTGTCATTCCATTAACATAATCCCTCCTGCTGGTGCACATGGGAGGACGTCTGAATCAAAATATTCATGGCTGTACAGTTCCACTCCCAACCTTTTTTTTT